AAACCATTCGTACTGTTTTGGCTATGGCTGCCCAATTAAAAATTCCAGTTTTTCAATTGGATGTAAAATCTGCCTTTTTGAATGGGGAACTTGAAGAAGAAGTTTATGTTGAATAACCATTGGGTTTTATTGAAAAAGAAATTGAAGAAGAAGTTTACAAACTAAAAAAAATATTATATGGATTAAAACAAGCTCCAAGAGTCTGGAATAGTAAAACTGATAAAATATAAAAAAAAAAGTGGATTTATTTTTTTGGAATCCAAGTAAAATGGTCAAATAGATAAATATTTATCTCTTAAGAAAAATATGTTGAAGATCTTTTGAAAAGATTCAGAATATCAAATTGCAAACCAGTGAGTACTCCAATGGCAGTGAATGAAAAGTTGTCAAAATACGATGGTGCAGAAAAAGTTGATGCATCGATTTATCAAAGCTTGATGGGATCTTTAATTTATCTGACTAATACAAGGCCAGATATTGTGCATGCAGTCAGTATTTGTTCCAGATTCATGAATGAACCAAGCAAATTGCATTTTGCAGCAACAAAATGGATAATCCAGGGAACAAAGAAACACAGTATCAAATATATTTTTGAAAATAATACTAATCTTGTTGGATTATCTGATAGTGATTGGGCGGGTTCATTGAAAAAGCACGTCCGGCTATATATTCTGCCGAGGTACAAAAGTGATATCGTGGTCATCAAGAAAGCAAAATACTGTGACTCTATCGTGCAAAAGCCGAATACATCTCAGCAACAAATACAACATGTGAAGCTGTGTGGCTCAGAAGAATTTTATCAGACTTGCAACAAAAGCAGAATACCCTACAACTATTTTTTGCAACAACATGTCAGCCATTGCAATAACAAAAAAACCAGTATTTCACAGCCGATCAAAGCATATAGAAATACGACATCATTTCATCAGGGAGTTGACTGAAAAAAGAGAAATTGTGCCAAAATTTATCAACACAAAAAACCAGCTTGCAAACATTTTCATGAAGACAATTACAACAGATAAATTTATCCAGTTCAGAGATATAATGAGAGCGACAAAGTAAAGAGAATGTTAAAATCCTAATCTGTCACTCTCTCTCTTCACGGCCTTCTCTTCACTCTCTCTTAACTGCCTTTCTGTCTCTCTCCCTCTCACCGCCTCATCCTGACACTCTCTCTCTCTAAAACCTCCTAAATAACCTTCATAATATATGTGGAGTATCTTCCTTTTTGCATCACTCTACAAATCTCTCTCTCCCTCTCACCGCCTCATAGGCAGTGGAAAACCGCCTTCATAATATATGTGGAGCATCTTTTTTTTTACATCACTCAACAAATCTCTCTCTCCCTCTTATAACCTCATCCTTACTCTCTCTCTCTCTAAAACCTCCTAAATAAAAGACGGTGAAATACCGCCTTCATAATATATGTGGAGCATCTTCTTTTTTTACGTCACTCAATAAATCAAAAGAGAGCACGCATAAAAAATTGTCCTTTTTACATCACTCGATAAATCAAAAAAGAGCACGCATAAAAAATTGTGTACTTTGTAGATAACCATCTCAACTTTGTAATACGACCCGTAAAAACGAACCGCCCTTGAAGGCTTATAAATAAGACAGGTTCGTGTTTTGTGCAGGGAGAGCGTAGAAAAAAACGAAAGGTTTAATTAAAAAAAAGGGGTTATGGTCCCTAAAGACCATAACATTCATTTGTTATCAAAATTATTTTTATGAAATAGTGAAATATCGTTGAGTTGATACTGCGGCCTCTTCATCCCCATCTTTTTTTGCCAAATTCACAACAAACCTCCTACGATCTCAGCCTACTCGATCATCGCTGCCAATTTTCCATCCCCCTTCTCTTCCCGCTTGCTCACTTGCTGCTTCCTTCTTCACTCATTGTTCTCCGCTCTCTCATGGTTTCATCTGCGCAACTTCCACCTTCTCTCTCTAGAACCTCTAGTTTTCTCGATCATCGCTGCCAATTTTCCATCCCCCTTCTCTTCCCGCTTGCTCACTTGCTGCTCCCTTCTTCACTCATTGTTCTCCGCTCTCTCATGGTTTCATCTGCGCAACTTCCACCTTCTCTCTCTAGAACCTCTAGTTTTCTCGATCATCGCTGCCAATTTTCCGTCCCCCTTCTCTTCCCGCTTGCTCACTTGCTGCTCCCTTCTTCACTAATACTTCTCCGCTCTCTCATGGTTTCATCTGCGCAACTTCCACCTTCTCTCTCTAGAACCTCTAGTTTTCTCATGCTTTCGTACCTCGCGCTCAACCCATTCACTTAAAAACCCAATAACCCAATGCTCTTCCCCCTTTCTCTCTCGTCCAAATAAACCCCCTTCTCTCTTATTCAAATTGTTTCATTTTTCTCTACTTTGCCTTCCGTCCATGTATACCCCACATCCCTTTCTCTCTCATCCAAATAAACCCCCTTCTCTCTGAATCAAACTTTTTCTTTTTTTTATTTTATTTTGCCTTGCCTCCTTCTACATGTCAAACGTTCCCTTTCTTATTTCCCCGTACCTTTATTCATATGTCCAACTCTCTCTCCTCTTCTTACAATAAAAAAATTCCAATGCATAGCCCCTCTCTCTCTTTTAACCAAAAGCACTGCCCATTTCTTTATAAGACTTACCTTCCTTTATGCACATCAAGCCCCACAAAAAAATTTCTTTTTTTTCTCTCACTTAACTAACTTGTCTTTATTTTCTTTTCTTTTATTTCATTAAATGATCCCATGTTACTTTTTCACCCCTTCTTTGTTATATTATTTCGCTCAACTCCATCTTAGTTTATTTCCTAATTTACTTCATTTCATCTTATCTTATTTTATTTACCCATTTCATTTTATCTCATTCACTTCCCTTATTTTATTTATCTCACTTCACTTCATTTTAATTTAATTTATTTAATTCCATTTTTCTAATTCAAATTTATTTTAATTCATCTATTTTATTTTTCATCTCATTTTCCATCACTTTTATTTCCGCATCACTTTTATTTTCACTTTAGTCTCTTTCTTTCTCTCCATTGCCTGTTTGACCGGAGGGTAGGCTGAGCCTTGCCGTTGTGCCGGTTTGAGTTACCGTGCCTGTCTTACTGCCACGACAGGCTAGCCATCGGGCCAGACTGATCGGTGTTCGTTTTGTCGTCTAGCCGTAATGCCGTTGTGCTGGTCTGAATTACCAGGCCCGTCTTACTGCCACGACAAATCAGTCACCATACTGGTCTTGCCATTGTGCCAGCCTAACCGCCTTATCGAACTTCTTCTCTCATTTTCACGTCTTTTATCGCTTTATGGCAAGGTAGGGTCCTATGACCCACACTTCTGTTTTTTGATGTGTGTGGTCTTGCCATTGTACCAGCCTAACCGCCTGATCGAACTTCTTCTCTCATTTTCACGTCTTTTATCACTTTATGGCAAGGTAGGGTCCTATGACCCACACTTCTGTTTTTTGATGTGTGTGTGTTTGCAGGAAGGAGAAACAGGTAAAGGGAGGCGATTCCAAACCGGCCATAGGCTAGGGGGCTTTCTAACGTGATCTAAGAGGGCGCCCACGCGAGCCAGCTCGAGCGTGTCACGGAGGCAATTGAGGTAAGTCCTGTCTCACGACCCTAATTCCTCTCTCACCGATTGGTACTTCTACCCACGTCTTCTTTACGTGGTTCCCGAGAGAGTGATCTCAGGTCCCGGGTCCATCTCGAACCCAGAACCACACCACAAGGTCAACCCGATCCGGAGGACGAGATCGAGACACCTAACCAAGGGGTACTATTGAAATGTACAATAGGTATAACGAGTCACTATTGATAAAATATTGTTTCCCATATGTAATTAGTGAAGAATCACCATAGGAATGGTTCCATGTGTGACTCATAATTAATTAGTGAAGAGTTATGTTTCAAAATGATTAGTGAAAAATCATGAAAGATATGAATGAACGAGTGTAACCAAAAGTAACTAGCGAAGAGCTGTGAATTCAAGAGTTATAGGTGATGTCTTGGGAGTAAGGTGTGTCCTATTTAAAAAATAGTATGTCTACCCCTTAATTTTGGGGGAATAATGTTATATAACTACCATATAAGAGATACTTAAAGTTAAATCGAATTGGAGGCTTTTTGTTAAGTGTCTAGGACAATTAACTTTAAAACTTAACATTATTAATTTGTATGAAATTTTTACAATTATTAGTATTACCAATGTGTATAAAAATTTCAAAGTAAAATTAATATTAGATATTATAAATTATCTCTTTTGGATGGTTGAAAATGCATGTCACTATTTGAATTCTAATAGTTTTACTTTCAAAAAAATGTTAGTACATATATATACAAAAACACACCAAATCCAGCCAGATCCACCCTCAATGTCCATGACTAGTTCCAGATCCAAGTTGGGCCAACCTCACGGGCCAACTCCCAACCTTGAATTCCTAACTCTCAGCCTTGAATTTTTCACACATCCCCTTGATCCGTCCGTACCCACTTTAGAACTTAAAATTTCATAATCAAAGGTGGAAATAAACATTTTTGGCCACAATAAAGGATTTTTGGATTAGTAGGGTTTTTGAGGCATACCTTACTTTTTATTATAAAGTCTTTGCCTTGCTTGTGAATGGCCCTTGAGCTTTAGTGTGGCTAAACGTTGCAAAGAATATAAAGAGACTATTTACTTTTGGTACAAGGAGGTCATTTCAAACCTACGGTCATAAGAGTGTCATTTACAAAGTTTAAAAAAATAAAAAATTCTATCCCGTGCTATCTAATTTGACATCTAATGCTATCTAATTTGATATCCAATGGCTAAGAATATTTGTGACCTCTTTGTAAAAAAAATAAATGGTTTCACAGTATGCAATGCCCATTTAAAATTGAGTTAAAAAGTTGGAAACAAAGAACTCAAAAGATGACCAACTCCATTCTATCATCTAAACACGAAGAAGTATGATAAAGCATGATGAGCCATAAGAAAATAAAGGCATGGCAAAGAAAAACCCTCAATTGTTGTGCAACAGAAATTTACAGCTGAAGAGTGATGGCTCATAAGGTATGATGTTGATGAATGAGTCATTTTCTTCCCCATAAGGCCACTTAATCTTCTTTACCCCACCGCTCTTCTTGAAATCCTTGTGCAAGTAGATCTCGAGGCCCCTCGCCTTCTTTTTCGAGACGAGGAGAGCATGCTGCTGCAAAATCACATCCATCCCGGGTCTCACATTGCGTCCTCGACTCTGCAAGAAGGTGAAGTTGCCAACATCAGCTTCAATGGTGACTTGCTTCCACTTCTTCTCTTCACTCAAACTCCATATTCCCAACTTTCCATTTCCGAATGCATGAATAAAGCATACCTTCTTTCTCCAACTTACCAATTTGCAGGAAATTGCTTCAGAAGCCGAAAGTCTTGAAAGAGTTTCTGCAACTTGCAAAGGGAGAGCAATGATTTCCCACACCTCTTTGTCCATATCGAAAATCGCTACACTTCTTCGAAAGTGATTATTGATAAATACTTCGTAACAAGCTCCGCCTGTGCAAAGATAGGTTGCATCACATGGGGAGATAGGATACCCGGAATCTAGAGGGGGATCCAGAACCCTCTTCCACAATCGTGTCGAAGAATCGAACAAGTGATACTGTATCTCAATTGGCAGGCTGTATGCCATACCACATATCATTGCACATAACAGTATCTTAAAAGTTTGGTTGTGAGGATCGAATTGAAATCCAAAGCCTTTAAGCACAAGTTGCTTGCCAGGATCCCTGATCCTGAGCCTAGGGTGGGTAAAGAATTCTCGAGTCATGGGGTTGCAGACACAAAAGGTTAAACTATAGCCTAGCACAGTCGATGCTATAAAGCATACCAAACCATGGCTAGACGCAGACAACCGCACAAACAGTTGTTGCTTACCCTCCTCTTCGGAAGCTCTACCGAACATCAGCTCCCTCATGGGTACTTTGCTGCATGCCTCTAGTTCAGAGAGACTAAAACTGAACAATCTATTCCTTAGTGTTAAAATGGCAGATGGATCAGATGAGGACGGAGGTTTCAGATAATGGAATTGAATAAAGAAAGGGGAGGAGAGCAGTTGTTTCCATGATTTGGATACACGTTTGAACCTGACAATGGATCTTACAGGAAGGGCAGATAGAATACAAACCATGACGTCCCCGCATATAAACAAACCAGTGTTCTTGGGAAATTCATGCATATGCAGGGTTGAGATTCTAGGCTCCAAATCTTTCAGAGCAGATCTCTGCAAGCTTTCTGTCGCAGTCGAGCCATTAGTCACCATGGCGCGATGTGAAGAGGTTCTCTTTCCTCTCACCATGGCGGTGGCTTCAGTCTCCAGTTCTTCATTCAAACACTTTGTCATGGTTGATCCTCTTGGCTCTGGTCATGGTTGAAGTTGAACGAAGGCCATGTATTTTTACTCTTGGCTCTTTTGGTTTAGAAATTTTCACAAACAGGGTGTTATCTTTGGGAAAGAGTTACAGAGAGCTAATATTTTAGGCGAATTTTAAGCAGAGTCATGCACATAGAGTTGCAATTAGATTTCGTGTGTGCCACTTGATATATTAATAATAATAAATAGAAAACTGCAAAGAATATTTCATCTAAAAATATCTTTAACTGCAAAGAATATTTCATCTAAAAATATCTTTAACTGCAAAGAATATTTCATCTAAAAATATCTTTAACCCAAACAAGGTAATAACATTTATCATATTCAACTTACATCTAAGACTTACCTTAGAATCCATAATTCCTATAAGACATTCCGTACATATCCAACCAAATGGTTATTTCCGTACCTATTAAAATGCGGACGCAATCAAAATAGGGCAAAGCAATGAAGTTTCAAGAGAAATCTTTGTGATGGCGCTAAAATATATTTTTATTTTTAATTATAAAATTTAAAGGCAAGCAATGCTTTCTTTAGAACATAAAATTTATATACTTCCCTTTATCCAACCGTTAATTCTGAATAGAGGGCTAAGATTGCCTCAATAATTCATGTTTGTACGCTATTTTATTTTTAATTTTTTCTATAAACTATTTGAAACCAAATTTTGTACGTCTAATCCTCTATTAAACTTGCACTAGCGAAAAAATATAAAAAATTATTTTTAATAAAATAAAATGACTAAAATACCCTTACAAGTTTCAAAAGGTATTTTGGTTATTATATTTTATTGAAAAATTATTTTTAATATTTTTATAGGTGCGCCCCAATGAGAAGATGATACATACCAAATTTCATTTTCATATAATTTGTAAAAAAAAAAACTGAAAAATAAAATACTTTGAGACATTGAATCGAAGATCAAATGGTGAGTGGCTTTCTTGATCAAAATTGGACGGTTGGATGGTAGGGGAAGCATAGATCTTTTATGCTATTAGGGGAAGTATAAAAACCTTTCCCAAAATTTAAAGCTTAAAAAATGTAGATCTTCTATAATGTAGGGGAAGTATAGAGACTTTTCCCAAAATTTAAAGCTTAAAAAATAGTGTAGATCGAGCCGATCTATGAACACTTGAAAATCTTGAAAATTGACTGTCCAAAACTGTATTAGAAGATGTACTATTTCCAAAACTTGAAATCAATATATTTTTTTTTTTTTCCTCATGTGCATGCATCTTGATGTTGAGATCAAGAATTTGAGGTGCACTCTAATATGATTCTTTACGACCTCGGTTCTATATAAACTTTTTTCAATTCCTAAAAGACGCAAGAATTTTAATAAGTAATGGATTTTCCATACATATCCAACCAAAAAGAAAAAAAAAGGTAATTTCCATACATATAAAAAAAGAGTTAACGAATTTTCCATTAAGTAATGGAATTTCCATACATATCTAACAAAAAAAGGTTATTTCCATATATATCGAAAAAACTTTAACGGATTTTCCATACATATCTAGAAAAAAGTTTAAAACGGATTTTCCATGGTCTTTAGTGATGTAGTTACATTATATTTCTTTAAGTTTGATTTTATTTCTTAATAAGCATTGTTATCTCCCTTTCTCTTCTGGTTCTTTGCTCAATTCAAGATTTTTTTGGCACCTCTCTCCATCGATATGTATGCTCCTGAGGAGGATTTCACCTTCCTGGAGAATGATTTGTCAGACAGGGTTTTGAGGGTTAAGATAGAGGCAGGGCAGTCCGATCATGTACACGACAATGACAGTTGCAGAACCATCGAAGACTGGTTGTGCCGCCACCAAGCGAACCGCAAGAAACGTATTGGCTCTCTATCTCTCTCTCTTGATTTTTAGTCCGAGGGGTTAGGTTAGAAACCTGTATCAGCTTCCTCTTAGCGCGAGGTAGCACAGTAGCAGGGATGAAAGGTTTCTCTCTTCACCCTCCGAAGTAGACCCGGACTCGAATAACCTAAAATTTGATAACCTGACGTTGAACTTTGGGTTATGAAGCACCCCATGTTCTTAATTCTCTGTTTCAAAATTTGACAATTTGACAATTTGACAACGCTGAGGTTTCTCTCTTCACCCTCAGAAACCCGGACTCGAATAACCTGAAATTCGATAACCTGAAGTTGAAACTTCGGGTTATGAAGCACCCCATGTTTAATAAAATTATTTTAATAAAAATATTTTCTAAAGTAATGTATTTTTCTTAATAAAATTATTTTGAATAGATTGATGATTTTTTTATAAAATTACATTTTTTGATGAATATGGGAAGTGTTTTTCTAGTTTGCTCAATAAAATTATTTTTAATAGAATTATGATTTACAAAAGGACTTTTTTTGATGAATATGGGAAGTGTTTTTTTTTTTTGTGTAATAAAATTATTCTTTTTGATAAAACTATTTTTTTGATGAAATTGATTATTCTTTTTGATAGATTTTTTTTAATTATGTTTTTTAAGTGCATGATATAGATATACTTGTAATGATGGAAATGAGACATTTTGTTTTTTTAAGTGCATGTAAAAATTTTGGTTGCCTTATGTTCAATGAAACACTACACCATCATCTTGTATGTGCTTAGTACTTCTCTTTTTTCTTTTTCTTTTTTTTATTTTTTTTATTTTTCTATCAAGGTTTTTGGAATCTTATGAAAGAGTCTTTAAAAGATCAATTAGAGAGAGAGAGTTTTACCAAAGTGATCTTAATTTCAAATCATCTCTCACATTATGAGAAATTGATTTTTCTAAAAAAAAATTCATTTTGATTAGCAAAATTATGTTTTGTTTTTTTTTTATCAAAATGGGAAGTTTTTTTGCTATATTGCTTAATAAAATTATATTTTAAATAAAATTATGTTTTTTCATAAAAAATTATGCTTTTTGATGAATATGGGAATTGTTTTTCTATTTTACTTTTTTATTAAAAAAATATGGTTTTTTAATAAAAATATATTTTATGATAAATATGGGAAGTGGTTTTTCATTTTGCTTAGTAAAACTATATTTTGACAAAAATATGATTTTTTAATAAAATTATGTTTTATGTTAAATATGGGAAGACTTTTTCTATTTTGCTTAATAAAATTATTTTTTGATCAAAATATTTGTTCTACTGTTCTTATTTTTTGATAAAATCAATGTGCACAACACTGATATGGATATGGTAAATACATATAAGAACAGTAGAACAAATATGGCTATGTATATGGTAAATATACATTGATTTTTCGTTTTGATGCATATCGGGAGACGTACTTTCTGTGAAGTATGCCTTATTTAAAGTATTGTATGAATTATGCTTTATTTAACCATATGGAAGATGACCTTTCTATTTCTTGTCCTAATTAGTTGGCGTTTTTATTTGATTTAATAGCATCAAGCTACTTTTGTTTTTTGACAAAAAGTGCATAAACTTTCATTTGTAATGTGAGTGATTTTTGCACACAAGAAACTAGAAAGTTTTTCATGTAAGGCTTGAAATGAATATCTTAATTCTTAGAAGAAGATGTTATATGAGAAAAATAGGTTCGATTTCGCAAACACCGATCTAGCTCCACTCCGTAAAGAAATTTCAAATCAGCAAATCACCTTGTAAACTATGGGAGCAAATACTGTCCATCTACTAAAACCTACTTAAAGGAATTTTTTTAATTTAAAATTTTGGGAATTATTGAGAATCCTAGATGATTATTTACAAAAACTAGAAATTTTGGATTTCAAGTTTTCTAACCCTCAAAAAATTGGACAACCTTTTTAGGTTCTTTTTTGAGGTTACTCCGTGCAGATGTTACATTCTAAAATAGATTGGGTTTACCCAAAACTGAGTAAATTGACCGTATTCGGGAGAATAAAATCTTTTGCCAAATTATGTGTGCTTTACAAAAATGACATCCGAGAGACCTCCGTTTTTTTTAGTTTATTGGGTTTACACAAAATTGACATTTAGGTAATTGGGTACCTAAAATTGAGTAAATGGACAGTATGCTCTTGCAGGAGCATAAAATGTTTTGGCATTTCATGTCCTACACTATAGGAGCACCTCTTATCTTTTCTCTATGATGGAGGGGGAGCTTCACAAAAAAACTTTTATATTTTCTCTATGATGGAGGGTGGAGATTCACTATAATTAGAAAGAAGTTGTGTTTGTGAGTCCGGTCCATCTTAAGATGGACCTTAAAAAAAAAGTTAAAAAAAAGCACCCAAATAAATGGGGCAAAAGAATTTCAAAAGTACATTTTAAAATTAAAATTCTTATCTTTTATTTTTGGTATGAATCTGTTAAAAATTTATATCTAGAACCTATCTTTAAGACAATCTTTAACTTTAAGGTGGACTGCACCCAAATAAATGGGGTAAAACAATTTCAAAAAATACATTTTCAAATTAAAATTCTTAGTTTTTATTTTTCCATATTCGTATGAATCTGTTAAAAATTTAGATCTAGAATCTATCTTTAAGATCATCTTTAACTTTAATGGACGGCGAGCATGCAGTAGAAACCCCATCCCTATAATTACCCGATAACTAAATTTGATCTCCTAAACCACATTGTTAAATGGTATATGTATGAACTATATATGTCTAGGTATAGTATGATGCTTGTGGTCTGCGATAACAGTGTCGTCATAAGAACTAGCACCGTTCAATCGATTAGTTGGACGGTGAGGTAGAGAGAGTGGGTCACAGCCATAACCCTCCTGACCACTCCTGACCATGTTGTTACTTTGTGCACCATATTATTACTTCCCATGTTTCTTTTTCCCATGGTTGCCTTTTCCAGAAGAGCACACTGTAATCAATGGTGTGCAGTGGACACTACTCAGACAAGCTATTCGTTCTAAGTTTTCAGTTAATGGTAAATTCTGTCTATGTGAGCCTTTGTTTGGAACTGATGTTAATTTCAAATATATGTTATAGGAACTTCTTGTGTAGGTCGCTTTGGAGTACTGTACTCCATACTCCATTGGATTCTTATCATTATGGTGAATTTATGTAAGGATAAAGTTTATATAGAGCTAAACAA